GGGGTTAAAAAAAAAAAAGCAAATATTAGTCTGTCGAGGAGTATATGTGCTAATCAAATAGTTTATGAGTAACAAGTAGCTAGGCCCCAATAACAGGGGAAGTATCTACAATTAACTCTTTAACTTATTGATGCTCGCCCCTATCTGTTATTCATATATACTAACATTAATGAATGCTATCAATAGGCAAAGAGGATTTAAAAATTAAATAAGGATAAAATGAAAATCAAAACAATGAGCTTAGATGAAGACAATCTCCATAATCTTCTTAGTAAGTACATGTTAACTTAACAGACAAAAAGTGCCTGGAGGAAGTAACAATTAATCAAACAAAAGGATTAGTCCATGCAAGAAAAGAGGGCGATCAAGGTAAAGGAATAAAGATACCTTTCAACAAATTTCAAATAATCCGGCAAGACCACGAAGCTATTGACAAAGCTTTCCATGCATATTCACAGAACTTTACAGGCTGCAGGTATAGGAAGGACAGTCAATATCAAGGCATGTCGTAAATAAATGAAGCACAGACAAGTACTATGAAAATGGCATGTCTAGAGTGAACTGTTAATTAAACACGACCTTGAGATGAGAAAAATAAGGAAGCAGAAGCAGAAGTAGAAGCAAAATCAGTGTGACTGTCTCACACCAAGCCAACCCATCTTACCCTTGAAAGATGGTATTAATGTAAAAGATCATATATAAAAAAATTGAAACTTAATGCAACATAAAACTATTATACTACTATCTACTGCTACTTGATAATGTCATGGAATATGCAATACCCAAAACTTATGATGACTTATGATGGTAACCAGTAGATGGAAATTATTCTAAGAGAGGGGACCAAGATGCTAACAATAAAACCTCTTACAGGCGCAAACATATTTTGTATTGTTTTTGATAGATTATGTAAATATTATTCTTGAAGATTTTGTAATCTCCTAATTTAGGTTAGAATAGATTAGAATATATTTTGGTGTAATTAGCTCCTTATTCCTAGCCTAACATTACGTTGTACAATTGGTATATTAACCAAGTCAAGCAATGAGAATAATCACGGAAAACAATTCTTTCATGGTATCAAGTCTAGGGTTTCTTTCTTCCTTCTTCTTCCGCTGTGCCCTAGTCTCCTCTTCTTAATCTTTCCGTCATCTTCTACCTCTCTCAAACCGCCATGTCTGACAGTAAGACCTCGTTCCACCCGGCTCTCGCGGTCTCAAATATCAGGAACCACATCTCTATTGTTCTTGAGATGGAGAACGCGCAATACGGAACATGGGCGGAGCTTTTTAAAATTCATGCTCGTTCTCACAAGGTCCTTCATCACATCATCTCTCCACCCAAAGGTAAGGAGAAGCCGGCTCCTGAAACCGATGATGAACTCGAGTTGTGGTCGACCCTTGACGCAACTGTGCTTCAATGGATCTATTCGACTATTTCGAATGACCTTTTGAACACCATTCTTGAACCGGAGGCAACGGCAATGGAGGCTTGGGTTCGTTTACGTGATATATTTCAGGATCATCAAAACTCTCGTGCGGTGACCCTCGAACAAGATTTTACAACAACCCGTTTGGAGGATTTTCCCAACGCTTCGGCGTATTGTCAACGCCTAAAGAGCCTCGCCGATCAACTGAAGAACGTCGGAGCCCCTGTGACAAATAGCCGTCTTGTTCTTCAAATGGTTTCGGGTCTCAGTGAGGCGTACAAAGGGGTGGGGACGCAAATTCGCCATACCAAGCCTCTTCCTCCTTTTCCTGAGGCTCGGTCTTCTCTTCTTTTGGAGGAACGTGAACTGGCTGCAATGGCTTCTCATAGGTCTAACTCGGCTATGGTGGCTGCTTCACACAAGGAGTATGATGATTCTTCCTCCTCTGAGATTTCTGGTCAAAATCGGGGTAAAAACAAGCATCACAAACAGTCCGGTTCCGGTGGTTCTGGTGGCCGGAAAAACAATGGTCGTGGCGGCAAAGGTGGTCGCGGCGGCGGCCGTGGCTTCGGCGGTGGTCAGCAGCAGGCTCCGGCACAGCAGTGGCATGCCCCTGCAATGCCATACGCTGCTCCTTCTCCTTGGGGTTGGATTCCAAATTGGGCTCCTCCCCCATGTCCTTACCCATCTGTCGGTTGGGCTCGCCCATCTTCTGGCCCAATTAGACAGGCTGGAATTCTAGGCTCTCGCCCACAGCAAGCCCATGCAGCAACTGGACCCCCTACTTCGTATGCTCCGACGGATATTGAATCCGCAATGCACACGATGACTTTGAACCCACCCGATCAAAATTGGTACATGGATACCGGTGCTACGTCTCATATGACATCCACGAATGGTAATCTCTCGTCTTATTTTAATTTGAGCAATCATCATAATGGTATTGTTGTTGGTAATGGTCATTCGATTCCAATTCGTGGTTGTGGTCACACTAGATTGTCTCCCCCGAACCCACCTTTATCTTTGAAAAATGTCCTTCATGCTCCTAAACTCATTAAGAATTTAATTTCAGTTCGTAAGTTTACCACTGATAACTCTGTGACTGTTGAATTTGATCCTTATGGGTTTTCTGTGAAGGATTTCCGGACGGGGATGGCACTAATGAGATGTGATAGCCGGGGCGATCTTTATCCAATCACCACCATCAAAAATCCATCCACTACTCCATCAACCTTTGCGGCTTTGTCCTCTCCCCTTTGGCATGATCGTTTGGGTCACCCGGGAGCTTCTATTTTGGATTGTCTTAGGCTCAATAAAAGCATTGAATGTCATAAATCTAGTAGTTCTAGTATTTGTCGTTCTTGCGTTTTTGGTAAACACATTAAGTTGCCTTTTGATTCGTCTATTTCCGAAACTTTGTTGCCCTTTGATATTATTCATAGTGATTTGTGGACCTCTCCCGTTTTAAGTTCAATGGGTCATCGGTATTATGTTCTATTCTTGGATGATTTCTCGAAATTTTTATGGACTTTTCCTTTGGCTAAGAAATCCGATGTGTATGCAAAATTCTCAGCTTTAAAGGTCCATATTCAAACCCAGTTTGAGCGTAATATCAAAAGTGTCCAATGTGATAATGGGCGGGAGTATGATAATGGTCAATTCGGAAAATTTTGTGAGTCTAATGGGATGTCTTTCCGTCTTTCTTGTCCTCATACATCTTCACAAAATGGTAAAGCCGAAAGAAAAATTCGCTCTATCAATAATATTACTAGGACTCTCCTTGCTCATGCATCTCTTCCTGCGTCCCTTTGGCATCACGCATTACAAATGGCAACATATCTTCTTAACATTTTACCGAGCAAACTATTGGGTCATATTTCTCCTCTCCAAGTTCTTTACCAACGGAAACCATCTTATTCTCATCTTCGGGTTTTCGGGTGTTTGTGTTACCCCCTCTTTCCATCTACAACTATTCACAAGTTGCAAGCCCGGTCTACACCTTGTGTCTTTTTGGGGTATCCTTCGAACCATAGAGGCTACAAATGTTATGATTTATCGTCTAACAAAATCATTATTTGTCGTCACGTGATTTTTGATGAGAGTGTTTTTCCATTTTCCAAATTACATACACCACCTTCTCACACATATGATTTTTTGGATGATGGAATTAACCCATATATTGTTCATCATTTGCAATTGGACGTTGCAGCCCAGCCAATACAAGCCCAGCAGGCTTCTCCCTTGCTACAAACTGCCCAGCCACCCTCTCCAACTTCTCCTCCCTTAGCCCAACAGTCATCTGAACCGCACCCCTCCTCACCCACTCAAATGTCTTCCCTGCAGCCCACTTCTACAAATCAGCCCCGAATGGTGACCCGAAGTCAACATGGTATTTTTAAGCCTAAACTTCCGTTTAACTTAAATACCACGGTTACAAAATCCCCTCTACCTCGTAACCCTTTAACCGCCCTTCGTGACCCGAATTGGAAATTGGCTATGGATGATGAATTTGATGCTCTTATTAAAAATAAGACGTGGGAGTTGGTGCCCCGTCCACCTAATGTGAATGTTATTCGTTCTATGTGGATTCTTACTCATAAAGAAAAGTCTAATGGTGATTTTGAGAGGCATAAAGCCCGTCTTGTAGGTGATGGCAAAACTCAACAGGTTGGCATTGATTGTGGTGAGACTTTCAGTCCGGTGGTGAAACCGGCAACGATCCGTACAGTTCTTAGCCTTTCTTTGTCAAAGAATTGGTCCATCCATCAACTAGATGTCAAGAATGCTTTTCTTCACGGTGAGCTCAAGGAAACAGTGTATATGCATCAACCTATGGGTTTCAGGGATCCCACTCATCCAGATTATGTATGTTTGCTCCGTAAGTCCTTATATGGACTTAAGCAGGCCCCGAGGGCATGGTATAAACGTTTTGCAGACTATGTTTCTTCCATTGGTTTTTCGAACAGCAGATCTGACAACTCTTTGTTCATCTACAGAAAGGGGTCCGCTATGGCATACATTTTACTTTATGTTGATGATATTATTCTTACTGCGTCCTCAGATTCTCTCCGTTGCTCCATTATGGCTCTCCTTGCCTCGGAATTTGCTATGAAGGATTTAGGTCCTTTGAATTATTTTCTTGGCATTGCTGTAACTCGCCATAAGGATGGTATGTTTCTTTCACAGCGCAAGTATGCTGAGGAGATCATTGATCGTGCTGGCATGTCTTCTTGTAAGGCTACTTCTACTCCGGTTGATACTAAACCGAAGGTGAGCAGCACTTCGGGTGATCCGTATGATGATCCGACTCACTATCGCAGTCTCGCAGGTGCACTTCAATATCTTACTTTCACGCGGCCGGATATTTCTTATGCTGTTCAACAGGTTTGCTTACACATGCATGCTCCGAGAGACAAATCTATGCATGCTCTTAAGCGCATTATCCGGTACATTCAGGGTACACTTGATTATGGTTTGCATCTCTATCCATCTTCAGTTACTGACCTCCTTTCCTACACTGATGCTGATTGGGGGGGTTGCCCTGACACACGTCGGTCGACGTCTGGTTATTGTGTTTTTCTTGGGGATAACTTGATCTCTTGGTCCTCTAAACGCCAACCTACTCTCTCTCGTTCAAGTGCTGAGGCGGAGTATAGGGGGGTTGCTAATGTTGTCTCCGAGTCATGCTGGATCCGAAATCTTCTTTTGGAATTACATTGTCCTATTCATAAGGCTACACTGGTATATTGTGACAATGTGAGTGCTATTTATCTTTCTGGAAATCCAGTGCAACATCAACGCACCAAGCACATTGAAATGGACATCCACTTTGTTCGTGAGAAGGTTGCGCGAGGACAGGTTCGTGTCCTTCATGTTCCGTCCCGATATCAGATTGCCGATATTTTCACTAAAGGACTTCCACAGGTCTTATTTGAAGATTTTCGGGACAGTCTCAACGTTCGTAAACCTCCCGTTTTGACTGCGGGGGTGTGATAGATTATGTAAATATTATTCTTGAAGATTTTGTAATCTCCTAATTTAGGTTAGAATAGATTAGAATATATTTTGGTGTAATTAGCTCCTTATTCCTAGCCTAACATTACGTTGTACAATTGGTATATTAACCAAGTCAAGCAATGAGAATAATCACGGAAAACAATTCTTTCAGTTTTTGTTGAATTTTTTCTTCAATTTATATGACTGTTTTATTTCTAGAATAAATATGTTATTTGTTAAATGCATTAGTTCCTCTTCAAGTCTTCATCTATTTTTTCCCGTTGTAGAAATTTTTGCTGGTTTAGGACGCAGTCGAGTCAATTTCGGACTACATGATAAAATTTTCTTTTAATTTCTACATGATTTTCCATTGATTATGTTCCTTTGATAAATTGAAAACTATTTTTTTTAATATGAAGTTATACCTTGGGGTGTGGAAGCCGGTAGAAAATAATGCTTGATATCTTTGGCATTATAGGGTTTGTGTAATACCTCATCATCAAGGCCTAGTGAGTGTCTCAACTATATAATAATTTATTTAACGTTACTCTTATCTCTTTTGGAGAATGCGTCTTTAATCTGTACAAGGAACCCTTTTGACTAGAGGTACGTCTGTATTTCTTTGAATACTCGGTTTTGATTCTTGTATCTTCTATTGTATGTTAAAATTAGAATAGGGACCTAGTTGGATTATTCCCTTGACAATCTCCAAACCACAACTATCCCCTTCAAAGGTATCTAATGTGCACTTCCTGTTATCTAATTTGTTTTTGTAGACATCAAAGGAAGATTTTATTGTTATAATAATCACTAACTCCACTATCCCCTTCATAGGTATCCGATTTGTTTTTTTTTTAACAACCTTACTTTACATTAATAAACTCTCAACTAACCCTCCACTAAATCTTATCCTCACACTCATCCCTCAACTAACTCTCCCCCTAATCTCTCTACTAAATAAAACCCTTTCCAAATCCCTTCTCACCTTCTCACGGGAACACAGAGAGACCGGAAAAAAAAGGAAAAAGAAAAAGAAAAAAAAACGAGAACAAGAAAGGAGAAGGACGAGTTTTGGATTCCGGATTCAGAGTCTTTTTCGACAAATCGGCAAGCATCCTTTCCTCGATTATTATTATTATTATTATTATTATTATTATTATTATTATTATTATTATTATTATTTGGATTTTCCTTCATGCAAGCATATTTTGTCTTGCTTTTATTAAATTCGTTCTCATTATTATTATGCAAGCATTTCTTATCTTTTAAACTCTTTTATTTTTCAAAATTGGCAAGTATCTTCTTATTATTTCCCTCTTTCATTATAGTTTATAGAAATATCTCGAGTATATTGTATAGATGTCAAATTCAAATGAGGTCCAAGGCTTAGATAAATACTTGTTTGCTGAATTTGATCCTCTCTTATTTTCAACTAGAGAAATTTTGTAGCCTGTAATGGAGACTTGCGTCATATTCCGACTCCACCAGGAAATCCTTAAGAAAGTTTTTGTTCAAGTACAAAGTGACCAGGTTGCATCTTCCATTTTTAGTCCTCAGTCTAATATATGTTCTGAAGAAATCCTAAGTGGTTTTGTAGATAGCATTTATCCATAGAACATTTTAGAATAAACTGACGTGAAAGGGGCCATTGTTCCAAAGATTATGAATCACAAAACAAGGTTCATGTACTACTAAGTAGTAACTGGAAAACAATCCCCTAGTTAGACCGTACCATTAAATTTTTTTTTATCTAATATGTAAGAACTGACTAATTAGTAGGATTTGAGCACATTGTATGAAGTAACATGTTTCTTTATGTTGTATGATCAAGAAATCGACAGATACCTGGTTGAGTGTTGACCTTTACTTAAGGTTTCCATGTTATTCGTAAATATCAGGCACAAGTAAGAGGTCATATAAAACACAATTAATAGCTTAGCGGCAATTGTGTATAAAAATAGCGTAAATAATTATCGTAAATGTTGTCACAGGTGGAGTACATCAATGGTAGCAATATATATTATAGTTAATATAATATACGCATGTAGGCACTACACAAAGTTTGTAATAACGTTACATGTTAAAGGATATATATAGATATAACAAGTAGCATACATAGGTCACTATATAGTACGTATAGTACATAGTGTATTATATTATATGCAGTCGGGTTGTCATTGATTTAGATACATAGGAGTTCAGTTTACATAGCTAGCACTATGTTATCTCACAGTAACATAAAGTCTACGTATGACTTGTCAAAATTGTGTACAGAAAGTCAAGGTTGTTGTGTGCATCACATATTGTTGTAATAGTCGTAGTGGCTAAATCATGCAAGTAAATGTGGTGGTTTAATATTTAGTTGGATGGTGTGATGTCAGTATGAGTTCTCTCACACAATCAGCACGGTTAATAGGTATCAAAGTAAGATGGCAGATTTGAGAGTTTGTAGCACTGTTTGTGATGTAAGAGTAATGGATTAGCATGACACTCTGTTAAAGAGCACGAACCCACTTCCCTTTCTACCTGCATTCCTTGTGAAGTTTACAAACTAACACTTCTCTATTCAATTGGTGTGGATCTCCTCCTACATTTATCTACTTTGACTATTCCTTCGTTAACTATAGACCAACTATTGGTTTTAAGATCATAAATCTTGATTGATTTCAAAGTTTTCTGCATACCTTCTCACTCTCCACCAGTAACGTAGAGGAAATTATTTATGACACCAGAACCAAACAAATGACGTTTCCCTTGCATATCAGGAGCTTGATGTTATATATTAGTTCGAGTATTATAGAATACAACTCTCCTCAATGAACCTATATGTACTATGTTTGACATGCATGGTTGCGTGGAAATTTGTTGCTTGATCACCTAGTTGTCATTCAATAGGAGAGACTGTGCATGAAGACGACTTCAGTAAAAATATGATTTGTAAGCGTGCTTTCATAGCATGGCTATGCTCTCGATATCGATATCCCGATATGAGGTTTTTCCTTGGCTATTACTATTATAGCATCGACTAGACGATGCACCTCTCTTGATTGGACATGTTCTGGGTCACGGTTATCTTTCATAGTTTTACGAAAGTCGTTCCACGGTAACTCTGTGGTTAGTACACAACATTTCATGCACAGTCATTTAAATTAAACCGACAAATATGGGGTTTATAAAGGGGAATTAGACGGAGAATATAACATGTATATAAACGGGTACATGCGCATTCCTGATATCCTGAGTTATATATACATGGGCCAAAGGGCCAATACTTGACTTGAAGCCGTGTTCCCGGGACGGTTTACGGGAAACCGATTTATATACATGAAAATATTCTTCTCTAATTCAAATAACATGTAAAATAAGAATAATGTACTTATATGCTTTGTGATAGATTTGGCATGCACGCCATGTCCTGGATGAGGTTTTGGTGATGTATATTTGTATTGATTGTTTATAGAATTTTGTGAGTTGTTATTTAGCGATTTACAATTTGAGATATATACACGATGGTTTCTTTGTTTGGATTATTCCCTCGACGTATTCATCTCGTGTTGTGAGTTTCTAAATCTTAACTTCTTTTAGTACAGGGTATAAGATGTGTGCTTGAGGTAGACCATGAATGATCTCTACAATTAGCAATTTCCCTTGTCATCTTTAATTGAGTTTTCATCTTATTTTGATCTATAAGTTTAGCATTTTCTTTTATCTGCTACTTACACTGACACGCGCACCATTTCCTCATTTTACATGCTTGCTAGGAGTTTTCTGACTCCCCTGGGGTTTGCATGCCCCAGACTCGGAAATTGTTCTTTCTTCGCAGGACCAAGAGTACTTTAAGGATTAAGACCAGCGACAGTGATCACATTCTCTTCCTTCACTCTCTCAGCTTCAGTTATTTTGGATTTCTTGTATTCACTTCTAGTACTCCAGACTAAGACGTATTTTCCTCTTTCCTATTTTGAATAGTTGTGGACATGTAAGAGGACTTGTCTTTTTCAGCGATTTCTTTATCTATCTATTTTCCTTGTTATCTTAGTTACATGCTCTATGTAGTAGGTCTTTTAGCAAAATATCTGTATACAAGATGATCCAGAGGCATGAATGTGACCGTATGGTTACATTGCCGGCCGAGTCACGTTCCAAACTATCACGTTTTGGAACCGGGGCGTGACAGAATAGCAAAAATAACCGGTTGGGGATAAACAATTACTTTTTGTGTAGCTTTATGAAACAGGAGGAAATAGTTTCATCTTGTTTCAGTATGTTTTACAGAATTGATCCTATTTCACATCAAATGACACTGAGTTACTGCAATAATATAAAAAATCAATGAAGTAAGCGACGAGATGTAACTTTTTGATCTGTTAAGATTTATCTAGTGCCATATGCTAAAATGAACAGGATGATTGTGGCTCTGGGAGAGCTTCATTTCTTACCTTTTAGATTAATGAACCATTCACTCACCCCCTTCATAGTTAAATGTTTTGTGTGTGTGTGTGTGTATTTTGTGCGCGCGCGTGTGTGTTTTACATATGGGTGATCATGGAAATCATGGAAATAGGCAGGTTCACATCATATCTACGAAGAATAAAACATTCATCGCCTAACATGATAAGCACTACAATGTTGCAAAAACATAACATTACATGCACTTCAAGGTTTTAACTTATAAAGTTTCAGTATGTTCTCAGATTGGATATCAATCAGATCTCTACTTGCCTATGTCGCATCCTTTTCTTGTTGACATTTGATTGTCCGTCATCAAAAAAGGAGAACAACTGCAAGCTACAAATGCTACTGAACCCATCCATGAAATTAATAAATTATTTCTTTTGGTTACTCTGAAATGCCAACACAGAACATATACTAACAAAAAAAAAAGTAGTTATTGGAAATGTTTTTTAACTTAAAGAGTGGCGGTTTTGAGGAGATTTGAGATTTGAAATGGACAGAATCATGGAGATACACTGTCCTCTTCTCTAATATAATATACCCTTGTAGTATGCTGGACAAGATTGCTTGAAGGATCACGAAAAGGTGTTTTGACGAACAAAGATCACGAGATAGATCAAAACGGGAGTCTTCTGGATAAATTTCATTTCTAAAAGTTGATGGATGATACATGGCTAAAAATCAAGTGAACAAAAGATTGGGTTCTCAATTGTCTTTGGAGAGAAAGAGGGTGGAGAGGGGTGGGAATAAAACGGAAGAGATATAAAGCTTGGGAGAAGAATGGAAAGAGTCACGGAAGTATGAAAGAGGAAAATGAACCAAAGCAAGCAGGCGAAAAGAAGGGCTTTCATATATATTGATTTAAGTAACGATTGTGATGCATCGATAGATATAAGGGTCACAAATCATTACGAACTGAAACCACAATCTTTAATGATGTGTCAACAGCAGTATGCATGATATGGAATAGTAAGGTTTCTGGAACAACGGGAGCTCATATGCCATTTGCTTTAAAATTGTTGCAAGATACATAATCACTGATAAAATATGGGGAAACTAAAAAATAATAATGCTAAGAATAAATTCAGAAAAATCAAAAGCAATACATTTAGTATTTAATGACATAAAAACTAAAACCAGCAAATAAGACTACTTTTACACAGTAGTATACTAAAAAAATTCCCCGAACTTTGGGGTGTTTCCCACAATACCAGCTGAACTTTATTTATTCCACTTTGTATAATAAATCAAAGTGCAAAAATGGAGCAGATTAATTTTATTCATTTCGTCACACTCTTACATAGAGATGAGTACAATCAAGAGGTTGAGATACAGAAGAAAGAGGATAGATAGAGTAATTATAACATAACAAATTATGATCATAAAGATCATATATATTACTGGATTGTTGAATTAATCAGATTCTCTAACACTCCCCCTCAAGCTGCAGTGTGGATTTGTTGAAGCCAAGCTCGCCGATGAATGTATGGATGAGCACCATAGATAATGTCTTGCCAAAAGATTGAACATGAGACACGCAGGTAGAGCCCAATAAGACTGCATGAGAGAAAAGAAGGCCGAGGATACTGAACAGGAAAAAAAGGTCGATGAGGTTGAACGGGAGAAGACGTCAATATGACTACGCCCATGAATAAAAGATCGGCGTGAGTGTGTGAGAAAATGAGGTCAACAAGACATGTGCAAGAATATTGACAAAGCTGTGTGTGAGAAGAGAAAGTCTGCAAGACTGCATGCAAGAAGAAGAGACCGATGGGAAAGCTGGGAGAAACTCGACATGTGAGTTGATGAGGAAAGAACGATAGTGTTCAAACAGAAGAAAGTAGGCAACATTAAACATCGGAATGAGCCTCGAGTTGTGAGACACAAGTAGGTTGAAGAGGAGTCGCTTGGTCTCCATGTAGGTTTGTGCAAAACATCGACCCAAGCTGATTTTGTTCAGATCTGATTTCTTGTGGGTTGGATCGAATTAGATATCAGATTTTCAATTCGAACAGCCACGTAGACACATTCTTGGAGCTGTCTGCATGAAGAAACTACAACTGATTTTTGATGAGCGACAGTGGCCGGATCCAGAGAATGAAGACAACAAGTGGCGAGCGACTGGAATTCAGTAATGTTAATGTTGTGAAGATGCTGACCCGGAATCAGAGGAGTTGGATAACAACGATCAGCAATTACAGATGATCAAAACAATTACCAGAATGGATCTTTGTCAGAATGGAAAATCGGATCAGATCAGATAATGCAACAAACTAAGATTGAACTAGATTTGAGACAAACATAGACATAAACAGAAGCACGAAGATTTCAAAGCTACCGAGGGGAAATGTGAAGATGATTTTTGCTGCAAAAACCCCTCAGCGGCCCCGAGACTATGAAAGAGAGAATTCTCTTGGCTAAGTCAGATGGCTCTGATACCATGTAAAATAAATTGAAGTAGAATAATGGAGTAGATTAATTTTATTCATTACTTCACTCACTTATATAGAGATGAGTACAATCAAGAGGTTGAGATACAGAATTAAGGGGTTAGATGAGTAGTTATAACATAACAAATTACAATTACGAAGATCATATCTGTTACTGGATTGTTAAATAAATCACATTATCTAACACACTAAAGCCTCTGAAGTTTTGTAAGTCTCACATAACCCCAAACTTTCAACTTTACCAAATGCACCCCCCATCTATTGTTGAGAAAGGGAGAAGATAAGATCATTTTTTTCCTACAAACCCTAATTTCTCTTAAATAGAGAATAGGAGGGTGACATAAGCGGGTACGAATACTAAATATCAAAATAGCTAACTACCTAATAACATCTAACACTCCCCCTCGAGTTGGAGCATATATATCAAACATGCCCATTGCCCAGCTTGTTACAAATAGGAACTAAACAACTAGCTGAAAGAGCTTTAACAAAGTTATCTTTGTTGCGAGCTTGTTGAAGAGCTCATTTCTTTATTCGCTTCATAAATTAGCCACAGAGTCAGACATAGTTCTCACAAAGTACTGAAATAACTAGAAAGTGCACTCACAGCCAGAGATTACTCGATAGCAAGACAATAGCCAAAATAAGATCTGAAAGAAATCCTCGCCAAGTCCTCACTTACATGATCAGTAAACTGCCAAATTAGTAGACAATCAGGTAAGTAGATAGTTTAATAAGTAGACAACCACATAAGTAGGCAGCTAGCCAGAAATAGAGATCTTTGACACAAAAAACAAAGCTTAAAAACTCATACTGAAGCCAAAAGAAATGCTAGGTGGGTTTCAGTAGGAAAAGAAGAAAACCCTTGATCGATCAATCCTTCATTTTCTTGATCTTGATTTCGGCATTATTTGACAAGCAAGGCACCTTTCTGTTAATAAAATAGCAAATTTCAAGAATATTTGATTGATGGAATGACGGACGTTGAAGCTAATCAAGGGAAAATGACCAGTCGTATTACTGATCATTAGTACCTTCAGCTATTGTTCATGATGAACATTAATATCAGTTGTTATTCACGCACAGTAACAATGATGCACACTTTTAGGCCACCGAGGGGAAGCACAGAGGTGGTATTTGCGGCAAAACCTCTCAACGGCCCTGAGGTCTAGAAGAGGGGAGTAGTTCTCTATGATCAAGTAGTGGGCTTTGATACCATGAGAAAGAGAGAAGATAAAGTTATTATTGTCACAAATCCTAATCTCTCTTAAATAGAGAAGAGGATAGGATATATAAGCAGGTAGGGATATTGACCCAATTAGCCGTACAAACAAATAACCAAACAATTAACATGTAACACCTAAAAGTCACAAATAACTAAATTGTTCTTAACCCCCCCCCCCCCCCCAAACCCCCCCAAAAAAAATCCAAAAAAATGGGTTGGAGGTATTTCGCCTATAAATGGCAAATGACTAAATTGGATCTTTTAGTTATTTTTTATTTACAGGTTGTGGTCCTTTGGGAAAAATTGAAAGTTTGGTGAGGTTATGTGAGACGCCCAAAGCTCAAGGGGGTTTAGTCGAATAAATACAATTCAAGAGTTTTCTAGGGAACCCCCCAACATTTTTTTTTGGCTGTGTGTGTGTGGGTGAGCACTTCTACTGCAAACAGAGGGTGACCGAGAAAAAGAATATAAGGAGGGCAAGGAGAGGGAGGAAGAGGGGGGAGAGAGAGCCTTTGTATTCATACCTATAAAGGCGATGATGAAGCCTTAATCTTTGCCTATCAATGAAACAGGGTGAAGGGCTACTTATATGGCAAGCAAAGGTCAAGAAAAAGAGAGGAAAAGAACAAAGAAGTCAATTTGGAGTTGAATAGAAAATTAAGAGAAAAAAGAATAGAAAAAAAAATTAAGAGAAAAAAGAATAGAAAAGTAAATTAAAGACAATTATATTTCTTTCAAGTCGTTGGTGGTTGAAGGCTACAAAGTGCTCTGACATTGATCAAAGATAGCAGAGGGCTTGAAGGCAAAGAGAGGGTTGTTGGGTGAGAGATAAGGGAGGAGTTAAGTTATCCAAATCCTAGTCCAGACAGGTAATATCTTAATAATGGATTGTAGGTTTGAGCCAATTTTCCGATCTACGAAACACTTAACCAATTGAATATACATATTTGACCCGGAGCAGCTAGCAAAAGTGCCCGAGAACTGCTTAGGCACCCCACACCTAGGAAGATTTCATGCAACATAAGCATGACCTACATAGGCCTCTTTTAAAACATGATCACTATGTAATGACTGTGAAGCATTGCCCACAAATAAGCGCAAATTAGTTAAGTCTCAACCAAGGTAACACCTCCTTATTTTCATCTGAAAAACACGAAGGCCTACAGTCACACCTCCATAACTGCAATGGAAGAGTACGCCATCTTTACACCACGGGGATCATCCGTGAATGTGAGAAGTCTCACACACGTCAAGAATGGACACTTCAATCACATAATATATCAATCTATATAATTAAGGTAGCTTTCAAAATTCACTTTTAGTTTCTAGATCATATAAGGATGTTTCAAAATATTTCATTATTCAAACTCGTGCATGAATAAGATGATTACCCTTTTCTAAATTATTTCATTAAACCCCCGGTACCCGGAAATATATATATATATATATATATATATATATTATATATATATATATATATATATATATATATAGTATATATAATATATATATATATATATGTATATATATGAGAAAATATGGGTATGTTTGATACCAAGCACAAACAGTTGTGCTTGGTAGTGAGGTGTCAAAATTCCCCTGCCACTCATTCAAATGTGGGAAAAATTCACATGGGTAGTGAGTGGATGAGGATGTAACACATCGATCACTACGCAAGCACAAAATTTATGCTTGGTACCAAGCATACCATATTTCTGCCTCTCTCTCTCTCTGCTCTCGTTCATCTCGTCTCTCTCTCTCTCTCTATATTATATATATATATATATATATATATATATATATATATATATAATTATATATAACAACGTTTCGGAGTTTTCACTCGAGTAAATGAGGAGCCTTCCAACAGTGCTTCACGAATGCTTAACTTGAACCACCAAAGATTAGCATGTGGAAAAAAGTAATATGTATTTAATTATATTACAAATTAGGTAACACCCACAACTTAGGATTTGAGTTTGAATTTTGAATAATCAAAAATTTAGGAATTGGAAATCCTCCTTAAAAAACTACTCATATCTATTATCTTGATTCTTTACTTCTTATTTGTTCTTGATTTATTTTGTTTTTTCGAGATTGAGAATGTGATTTTGATACGGGTGTATCTTCTCTTCAGGAGCTTAGCGATCCTCATGGAAGCTTGAGGATAGGAGATTCTCATATCTTGGGAATAGGATCATGGATGGAGCCAAAGAAGACGGCGAAAGAAGTCAGCAGGAGCGAAACACAAAAGAACATGGTAAACTGGCAGATCTCTGGCCGGTCGACCGCAGCACACATGCCGGTCGACCGGAAAACATGCACAATGCAGGGTTTGAGAAAACTCTCTGGCCGGTCGACCGGACCAAGCCTGGCGGTCGACCGGATCGTGATTTCTGGGTTTCCTGTTTCGTTTTGGATTCTGTTTTGACAGTGATTCCTGATTCTTTTGGGCTTGTTTATTTACAAGATTGCCATCCACGTTTGTACATCTATAAATAGGATTGTTTTAGGGTTCTAAACAAGAAGATCTCAGAGAGAAGTGATCAAGAGAGATTCTAATCAAGAGAGATTAGGGTTTAGAGAGGATTGAGAGGTTGTTCTCAATTCTAGTGAGATTGTGAGGGAGAGATTATAATCTTTTGTTCTTCATTATCTAGAGAAGGTATTTTCCTTCGCCTTATACTGAATTGTTCTTGTGTTTTGATCATCCTCTTCTCAACCCACCTTTTGGTAATTCCGCGACCAAAGGGTGCTCGCACGGCAACTCGTATCAAGTTGGTATCAGAGCATCAGATCCGATGAAGGGGCATCCTATGTATGGTCCTTACTCGGTCCTAATACAAAAAGCTTGACGAGATCCTTATTTCATTGGAAGGAGTCCAGGATTTAAGGAAGGAGAAGATGGCTGAAGGAGATAATTCAGCGAGGATTGATACATTAGAAAAGCAGATCGAGACGATAGGGTCGACGCTCACAAAACTCGTCGGTCTTATCCAAGGAGGGAACAAAAAGGGGAAATCTTCTTCTAGGTCTAAGAAGAAACCTATAGAGTCCGGTGGAGAGAGAGAGCTTTCAGGCTCCGACGAGGAGGACGAGACCGTCAAGGCTGCACCGCATCAAGGAGGTAAGAATTCTTACCAGAATCTGAAGATTGATTTCAGAGTGAAGATTCCTATTTATGATGGGAGTGTTGACGTCAAGAGGCTTGATGACTGGATCGAGCGGATGGAGACGTATTTTACTCTTTATGGCTATTCATCAAAAGAGAAGATTGTGTTCGCGACTTTGAAGCTTTCACGACACGCGTTGACGTGGTGGAAATCCTATTGCAAGCAGGAGAAGAATGCGGTATCGTGGAACAAGTTCAAGGAGCTACTTAGGAAACAATTCTATCCGGTGGGATTCCTTAAGGAGCGTTGGTACAAGTGGTATGGCTTGTGCCAAAGGATCAATCAAACCGTTCAAGAATACACTACGGAGTTCCAGCAGCAGGCAATGGTTCTTAACGTTGCGACAGAGGAATATTCCGTGTTCATGAAGTATATGGCGGGATTGAGCGATTACATCCGAAAGAAGATGAGGTTATTCACGGTCGAGACTATTGCAGAGACGAGCGTGAAGGCCATTGCCATTGAGGGCAAGCAAAAGAAGAGCAACGAAGCAAAGAGGGATGCAAAGCAAGTTGGAGGCGAGTCTAGTGGTTCTCAGTTTAAGGAGGAGAAGAAGAAGGGTGATCCAGGGAAAACAGGACTGATGTGTGGTCATTGCGAGAAGACAGGGCACATAGCTGATCAGTGCTGGGAGAAGTATCCTCATCTCAAGCCAAGGGGGTTGAAGAAGGAGGAGGAGAAAAAGACGTACGTGATAGCTCAAGGTCTGAAAGAAGTCCCAGGGATGACAGAACCCAATAGCAGTCTCAACCTTATGGCGGGGAAACAAGTCACTAAAGAAGATGACGACCCGAGGGAGTTGCTCTTTGTGCTTAAGTTGTAAGTGAAGACTAGTTTGGTTGATACCATAGTTGATTCGGGCAGCGAGAAGAATTTGATATCCGAAGTCTTGGTTCAGAAGCTGGGTCTGAAGACGGTCAAGCATCTGAAGCCCTATCCATTGGGGTGGATTCAGAAGGAGGAGAAGCTAAGTGTAGTTGATCAATGCACTGTAAGATTTACGCTCCATGAGTCGTATATTGACGAGGTCACATACGACGTAGTTCCATTGGATGTTTGTCAGATTATACTGGGTAATCCTTACTTATGGGATAGATATGCGATCTACGAGAGACGGGCTCAGAAGTATACATTCACCAAGGGTGGTGAAAAGTTCATATTTCGTTCAGCATCTCTTCCGAGGGAGACGAGCTTAGGGACAGTGACGCGAGCGAAGAGGTTAGTGAATGCAAGCAAGAAGTTTATCTCGTTGTGCATTAGACTTCCAGAAAAGCCATCGATGAAGGATTGCAACTTAGAGCAAAAGGTGACTACGACGAGACGCGGGGTGAATGAGTTGTTTCCGATCGGACGTCGAGACTGATTTCCTAGCAATGCCAGGTGGTGCAGAAAAGAAGGAGGGGCTCGCGAGTTCCCTCAGTTTCAGTTCTAACTTGAACGGGACTTTAAGTTCCTAAAGGGGGACCCATGATACGGGTGTATCTTCTCTTCAGGAGCTTAGCGATCCTCATGAGAGCTTGAGGATAGGAGATTCTTATATCTTGGGAATAGGAGCATAGATGGAGCCAAAGAAGACGGCGAAAGAAGTCAGCAGGAGCGAAACGCAAAAGAACAGGATAAACTGGCAGATCTCTGGCCGGTCGACCGTAGCACACATGCCGGTCGATCGGAAAACCTGCACAATGCAGGGTTTGAGAAAATTCTCTGGCCGGTCGATCGGACCAAGCCTGACGGTCGACCGGATCACGATTTCTGGGTTTCCTGTTTCGTTTTGGATTCTGTTTTGACAGGGATTCCTGATTCTTTTGAGCTTGTTTATTTACAAGATTGCCATCCACGTTTGTACATCTATAAATAGGATTGTTTTAGGGTTCTAAACAAGGAGATCTCAGAGAGAAGTGATCAAGAGAGATTCTAATCAAGAGAGATTAGGGTTTAGAGAGGATTGAGAGGTTGTTCTCAATTCTAGTGAGATTATGAGGGAGAGATTGTAATCTTTTGTTCTTCATAATCTAGAGAAGGTATTTCCCTTCGCCTTATACTGAATTGTTCTTGTGTTTTGGTCATCCTCTTCTCAACCCACCTTTTGGTAATTCCGCGACCAAAGGATGCTCGCACGGCAACTCGTATCAGATTTCGACCTATGTTTTGGGTTCTGCCAATTTCATCTGTTCTTGATTTATTTTAGGATTGAGAAGGTGGATCCATATGAGTAAGAAAAGAACATACGGATACACAGCAGATTAGAATTTTTTCTTGGATATAATTCGGGTTTTTTGCTTAAGTTTTTAATTTATGATTTTTTTAAATTCCGGATTGACTATAGATGTTATCCTACTCTCTCCAACATAGAAAGAAAGAGAGATGCCCAAAGATTTAATTCATCCTTATGACCACAAATTTCAAATCAAATCTACAACATTGTGAAGTTCTTATTTTGTTGAATTTCTTATTTTCCCTGATAATTAGATTAATTGTATTTGATGATAAATATTTTAACTTAATTAATTTTTTTTTGTTTTTGATTAATTGGTTACTTTATTAGGTTTTACAACAGGGCTGAAAGTCACATCATAATCGACCCTCTTTTGTTGATTATCTCCTTTTTCCTTAAGAAGTGCTTTAAACCAATCAATTATTCCATCAACCTAGTGTCGTATATGATAAACTCATTTGCATCTGATGATGTGCTGATTTGGTTTAGGAGGAACAAGAACCCAAGTGCCATTGCTTATCAATGCATGATACTCCTCTAATCAGATAAAGCCACTAGAGAATTTTAGATTCTTGGCTAAAACATGTAGGTTCTTGAGGCAAGGTAGTGGCCACAAATGTGATTAGATGTTGATCTTTAACCTCAAACTTGCATGGAGAAAGGGATCCATCCTTAGAACCATGATCATTGCATGCTGATTAGCAAAATCATTTCGTAATCGTCAGGTACGAAGGAGCAACATCATTAGAGGGCATAACATATTGGGAGTCACCATGTTGATCCTTTACAAGGTCATCATCGGTGTGCTCAATAGCTATGGATTCCTCAGCATTATAAGCTACATGGAATTGCAGGTTACTTGATGAAAATCTAATTAGATCTTGCCCTTCTATGTTGCGATTAAATGATGGTGAAATAGTAGAGAGACGTGGACCGAGTGTGCTATTTTGATTCGTACCTGCAATTTGAGAAACACTAGTTCAACGGGGGATGACGATTTAAGCGCTGGAAGAAGGAAGAGAATTGTTAGGAGGAGGTGAAAGAACAGGAGGAAAAGCGGTATGTCAGCTTAGAATGATATATGGAAAATATGCCTTCGTCAAAAAAAGAAACTGTGAGAGATGCGCCCATTTTGAGGATGAAAGCTATAATAGCTTTTATAACTACTTGGATATCCTAGAAAGACAACAAAAAAGATCAAAATTGTATAACCAGGTCTTGAATGAAAAAGAGATTCCCAGTGTGAGGAATATTGAAGAGATTTTGTAGGTAATATGTTACTAATGTACACTACATATTTGATGTCACACGCCAAATTGTGCAGAGACATTGGATTAAGCAAGGATAGAAAGACTTGCATCAAAAAAATATGCTAGTGTTTGCATTCAACGGCACCGTTTTGTCAATCGGCACAATGACGTGAGAAACAATGACCAATACTATTAGAGGCGCAATTTCTCTTGAAATCCTTTTGAGGTTACCTCTCCAGCACCATCAGATTGTATGAATTTTAAACTTCTATTTGCAAACATTTTCAACATGTTTGCATAACTAATATGGTCATCGAGAAGATGAATGCAATATTTGTGCTCCATGTGTGAAGTGAAGAGGTCCAGTGTGAAGTTAAAGGAGAAGGACCCTGCATAATAATAAAAATGAAGTCTAATCGATTTTTAAAAATAGTTTCAGAAATCAAATAAGGCAATCGACGACTTTTACTCAATTGACATAAAGTACATAAAGAGGTTTCATTACACTTAGTTTAGCTTATATTAGCTTTATTTAATGGTTTGAATATGATAGGCATTTGATGTATGACCAAACCAGTGATGCCATATAGATGAGGAAAAGACATTATGGGCTGAAGCAGGGAGCCGACGGATCTGAATTTCAATGAGGCAAGAATTGATATTAGTCATGATTAAGTTGTCTTGGCGGTTTAGTGTAATTTATCGGGAAACATGCATTCCATATGATGCAACAGTTGTTTAAATAGATAAAATTTCTCAAGTAATGTGTTGCATATATCTAAAATATAAAGCTTTAGATCGCCGAATTAGTCTCAAAATCCATTAATATATGGTCAAAACAATTTCAACAATTCCGTTGATACATGTCGGATATACAGAGATGAATCAGATACCCAAATATTCTACTAAACAGTTTCAACCATTTGATTGACACATATCGGATATATACAGATGAATCAGATACCCATACATTTTACTAAAGAATTATAAAGTAGAGCCTCGGATCACCGAATTAGTCTCAAAATCGATTAATATATGGTGAAAACAATTTCACCCTTTCGATTAAATACATATCGGATATACAGAGATGAATCAGATACCCAGATATTTTACTAAAGAATTATATTCGCTAAGGATACATTACAGCCGAAGTATACGCGGTGTCTATAAAGCTTGAGGCACTAAACAATTAGACTTAAAAAAAAAATGCAACCTTTACGGAAAATATGTAGTAAACATATCAAAAAAATGCAAGGAAACACAAATTGTAATTTAAAAATCTTACGGCCTCATGAAGTTTGTTGATGAGAGCCATCAGCTTCTAACTCAAACGCTGCTTAAACCCTAGTAACGAGAAGAAAAAAGGAAAAAATAGGGATCAGAATTCGAATCGGGTCCAATTCCGGTCAAAATATGAAAAGAAATGTCCAAAATCCGAAACTTTGCCTCTTGCGAGCGGAGGCGTGCGTGCAAGAGCTTTGCGAGCTCCAGATCGACGCCACGTAGGCGTCCACGTCGGCCTGCAAAACACAGTGAGGGGGACGGCGGAGGAATGGGAGGTTGATAGAATTCGGGGGGATTGAGATACTCACCATGGTCGACAACTGAGAGAAGCTCATCAAACCCCAACCCTCTTTTTAAAATTGTGAGGGTACAATATAATGATTTATGGGTGAAAAAACAATTTTAAACTATTAGTACGTAAAATTATAATTCTTAACCAATCACAGTGGCAAAGATTTTAAAATATTATCAGGATAAACCAGGTGTAAATCCCATGTGCCATGCATTTAATGTTATTATGCATATAACCCAAAATTTGTAGTTGTGCTAACCAGAGGGTCAATCAACCAGTCATGTACTTTAACTCACAAAGGTGTGACACATTTGTACTCAACATGCACCCTTGACCACAGCCTATGGGTTTGACCTAAAAGCTGGGATAGAGCGATAAATGTCCATAACAATTGAACTAATCTCAGTTCGATTACTATGCCTAGACCCCTACTCGGTCTGGTTTTAAGGTGGTGTGCCTAATTAGAGATGATTGATTCAGGTTATATAATATCCTAAACATATCATATGAGGAGATATCGATCAAAGAATCAATCTCTACAACTATCAACTTCCATAACTTACCCGCTATACACATACATCAATTGTACAATCCTACACCGAGATATTGCTAGTCGACTTACTTGCAGGCCAACTACCATAACAACCTTGGCTGTCAAGATAGTGACACATGTAGAGGCTGATTTGCCCTAGAAAATTAGTATAAATACCTCTCCGATCTAAGGTATAAGGACAAGACCTCATATGATTATAAGATTTAGCACCACCAACATTTGGAATATGGTCTCTCTCTTTTAAAGGCCTAACGTTAATTACCTATAGCTTTGACTTCATCATCAAGAATCTAACTTAGGCATCAGAGAGGCATCAGTGGGTAGCCCACCATCGTCAATCTGATGTTTTTTCTATATATCTCAGGCCGTTGTCAACAAGAGTTAGTCAAACATCAAAGGAGACCACTAGGCCTTCGTCATCAAGTCCACTCTTACGGACTCAATCGTGTAAGTTGTTCTCAAGATAAATAAATGTTTATTTTATAGAAAATTGATAATACTATCTAACTCCAGGCCATGTTAGAATATAAAATTATAAGGTTTTCAGACATAGTCACTTGGGTCATAGGTTTTTTGATATTTGTCCCTCAAATCTTCATATTTTGTTATTAATCCCAGAAATCATCTTAGTATGTTGATATTAGTTCCTCTAGTTGGTTGGTGTTAAAATGAGTCGAAATAATATGTTTTCTTCGACATTTTCTTGAATGAACAGTTACCTCTCCTCTTACCTCCTTGCCCTCCTCTCTCCCCTAGACCACCCCCAAAAAAACCTCTTCTCCTTCCTCTCTTTCCTCAACCACCACTGCGGGCCCCTCCCATTATTTTTTGCTTCAATGTCTACAAAGTTTGGAAATAAATATAGGAGAGAACGGTGATGAAGAAGGTGGAGGTGGTTAAATTATCCGTGGAGGTGGTGATGGTGGTGGTGGTGACATTAGAGTAGGTGAGAATACCGCCAGAGGAGGTGACGAGTGTGAAGGAGATAATGGTCGTGAAGATGGTGGTGGAGGCGAGAATATCAGCAATAGTAAAAATGACAGAGGTGTGGAGATAGTGATGACGGAGATAGAGGAGGGAATAAGAATACATGCGGAGGTGGAGATAGCCATAGCAAAGATGATGGTCGTAGTGATTGAGGAGGAGGTGGGAAAACCAACGGAGGAGGAGAGAGTGGTAAAGGAGATGTAGGTGATAGAGGAGGAGGTGAGAGGGAGAGGTGGTGATAATATAATTCCCCACCCATTATTAGTGCTAACACAACTATAATTCGGGGTTTGAACAATAAGCCTAATAGAAGGACTTATTGGTGTGTTCTAATTATAAACATTGCAAGTGCACAACTTGTGTGCGTGACATATAAGTATCGATCCCATGAGAAAGATGTGATCTAAGAAAGATCCTAGAGTGGTTCTTGAATTATGGTAATAAAGAGAGAATAGAGTTGTTTTTGGTGTTGATTGAATGCAAATAAAAGGGCTAAAACAAGAAGGTGAATAAAAACAAGAGAGGAAGCAAACAAAAGAGTGAAGAAAATCTAATTATGAAACTAGAAATCTAGGATTGAATCCACTAGCTAATTCCTATTTAGATTTTAGAACTACTTTCTTTTAATTTTAATATCACTAGACTTCTTAAGTATAGATTATCAAGTTATTTAAAACAAGTACAATTATCCAGGAAATATCATCATTCATGAATAGAAAGGAATAACTAAATAGTAATTCTAGAATTAAAAAAGTGTAAACTATCAAACCATGTAAAATAAGTATAGCTTATTTAATTTTTCTACCAAATATATTCTAACTGATTACCATAAGCATGATCAATTAAGCATAAAAATAGAGCAATTCAAAGTTTTAAGTAGAAATTTAATTATCTTCATCTAATCCTAGATATCCTAAGAAAATTAGCTACTCATATTACTTCTAGAAAGCAAGAATAAGAAGTAAGAAACTTCTAAATTACAAAGCATAAAACAAAGCATGAATTAAATCATCAACATGCAATTTTAAATAGAAATAAAAAGGAAAAATAAAAACTTGCATTGTAATAGGTTGGCCCCTCTTGAAACAAATCTTCATCAACATAAGAGATGAAGAAGAAAATTAAAAGAAGAAAGAAAACTTCTATTTAATTGCAAAATTAAAGTTTTACAATGGTGGAATGCCTAATTAAAGACCTTCCTCTCTAAAATGGAGTTCACAAAATTTTACATTTTATAGCTGACAAGAAATAATATCAGCTACTGGATCAAACTTAGGCTCCAAGAAATCAAAACCAGCCATTTATTATGTTTTGTTGGAAACTAATCGATTAGCTTATCAATTAGCTAATCAATTAGCTTATCAATTAGCTAATCAATTTGCTTATCAATTAGCTAATCAATTGGTTCATTGATTAGTTAATCAATTAGTCTGTAACAAAATTTTCTTCTTTGATTGACTTATTTACTTCTTGAGCTTTTGACCTTTCTGAGCTTCATTTAGGCTTGGCTTCAAGTAGAGGTCTTCTAGGTTTCTTTGATCTTTTATTTGATATTTCTTTATTTACTTCAAACTCATAAAACACACGAATTTAGTAAGTAAATTTATTCAATGAAATATATAATAAGGGTACAAAAGTGTAATAAAATATAGCGATCAAATACTCCCGCACCTACACTTTTGCTAGACCTCTAGCAAAGAAAGAAAATAAAAAAAGAAAAATCTTAACTTACTTTTGCAGGAATAGCAGTTGTATTTTGTATATACAACAAGACTTTAAAACCTTAGATTACCCTAAAGGAAGAGTTGTAGTCTCGTGAGAGTTTATAGTGAATATACTCATAAAATTCGATCAACTTATCAATTATAAAAATTAATATAGAAATAATTCATCTGATATCTTTAAACAATTTAAACAATCTAATTAAAGCTAATTTTACTAAAAAATATTTTATGAATAACTCTAAAGTAAATTTCTTAGAAAATCTTTTTAATGTAGTTGTACAAAACTAAGTTTAACTTAGAAATTTATTTAAAATTCTCAAAAAAAAAAAAGATATTAGCTCTTTGTGTCAATCAATTCCTAAGACTCCTAGATCAATTTTATCTTCCATATATGTTATATACTAGTTGGATTGCACGTGCAATGCACGTGGTAAAGTTTTCATTTTTAGCAATGCAGCATTGTAACAATCAGTCAATAAAATCTTGTTTAAAGATATTTTATCTCAATTTTCTACCTAGTAAAGCCTTTCTCTTTCCATGATTATATATCTTCTGATGATGCCTGCCTTCCTGCAGGTATTGTTTTTTGCACTAAAGAAGAAGTGCTCTGATGTGTGTCATCAACTCCATCAGAAGAACATGGCAATAAGGACGCATTACAGGCATTATAATGCAGTTCTAAAGACTGGACATTCGGGTCCTTTTCAAAGGAAACAGCGACATTGTTTTGAGATAAGAGATAATACGGAAAATGGTGCTTGAAGAATCCTGCATCAATAAGCATCAGTACTTCAATAAGTAGACTGCGGAAAATACATATCCTCGTTTCTGTATAATTTTCCTCTTCGATTGTTATGCGGTTAGAGCATGTAAAAGGGATGTTGGACTGTACCTGTGGCATACTTCATTACTGAAATTGAATATCCTCACTATATCAAGGGAGGGTGGCTTTGTTCCAAAATAGGTACTGCACACATGACCTGAACCTGCAAAGTAAAAGACATAGTCAACATGATTTTCTAGTAATATCTCAATATCAAAACATAGACACAAAATTCTATGTTATGAAAGAAAGAATTTTAATTTTTTGGCATATATAAGCCTAATACATTTATAGGATTGCGGATCAAAGCTATCATAGTAACTAAACTACATAACAGATATGTAGGACGGACACGGATCCGACATGGTCATCCGACACGCCGATTAGAATGTTATACAGGTTCACAAACAGATTCATTTCAAGCTCTCTGCAACAAATCCAATTTCACAAACAGATTCATTTCAAGCTCTCTGCATATTCTATTGCTTCCTTCTTGACGTGTTTAATTCTTTCTTCATCACGCTGTGACTTTTTATAGCCGAGATACTTCATGAATAAGAACTGCTAATTATTCGAAAATAAATTTATAAAGAGGGAAACAGCACAAGAAAGTAAAATTGAATGCTGAGAATATCAGAACTTGGTGTAATTTCAGTATTCCTAGAATATGCTACCAAAAAGGTAAACTATTGATTACATACCTCAAATTAGAGATGAATGACCAGAATAATACCTCAATGAAATAGCGAGGACCTGCACATTACAAAAGTTTTAGCGGTACGTGAAGCTGAAGGAACTTTAAAAACAAGGAAAAAGAAAACAGTAATGCGCTTCTGAATGAAGCAGAATGGTTGATGCACCGTTGGAAAATGCTACAAACTTACAGCATGTGTGTGAAGGACATTGAACTTGTAATGAAATGGTCATGAAAGTAAGTGGAATTTTCTCATAGACGTAGTACTTGTGCATTTATCTAACTAAAATCTCATCTGTATAACCTGACACAAAAACTCTCAGGAGTCAAGAACAGGCATACGAAGAGATTCAACTTGTTTCACTGTTAAACTAACATCAAAGTGTCCAATCCAAACACAAACACTTTGATCACAAATTAAACTATACAAATGAGAAATAATCAACCAGTCTAACTTCTAAATAAAAGGAAAAATAATGTGTATCAGGATTCAGTTAGGAATTTAATCAGAATACAAACACTTTGTTATTAACTATTGCTACCCTAAACAGCATTCAGTATCTCAACAAAAGAAGAAATGGACAGAGGGAAATTTAATATACAGTCATAAGAATATATATTAGCTGAATGATTGTCACCTAGTTTATATGAACCATTCTGGATGTCATTTGACATGATCAAGTAATTTAATATACAGCTAAGTTTCATGAAAAGTACAAGTTTTACAACATAATTAGCAGTTTAGCACTCATTTCATTAACAAAAACCAGTTATTATTATTATTATGAGGAACAGGTAATGGTTAGGGAAATAACATTATCTCAAAGTGAAACCAACATATTGGCTGATTTGAGGTTCATAGACAAAGGCTAAGTGATGGTTATCCGCATGAAGAAGGCAACAGTTGAGAAAGTTGAAGTAAGCTTAATGATTACAAACCGAGTACAGGATACAGTAGCAATGTTGAGTGTCAGGTTTTCTTTAACGAAACAATGTGTGCATTGGATGAGGGAAACAATGTAGTACATGAAACATCTAATATGACCAACATCATTATCTTTAAGCAAATAAAAAACTGTAGGAAACGGTAAATAAATGAATCATAATCATGAACTTTTCATTTTTATTTGTGTTCCAAGGAAAGAAAGAGAAAATACTGAAGCATGACATGTAAGAGAACAAAACATTAACATAAGCATTCCTGAAGATATGCAGAACTGTTGAACTAACTATATCAAAATATGCAGTTGACCACCCAAACACAATTCCAAGAACTTTGGTGAAAAAGCAAGTGTTCTAGACTACTAAAAATTTTAGAACAATGCAGAAGAAAAGAATACAACTTACTACAAACCAACTGCAATATGGAGGGTAGTATACAGTTCAATTAACAGTTGCCTGTGAACACACCCAGAAATCAAGTAGCAACAAAGGCATCGGTTATTTATTGGTATATCAGCCTATGTATCAACTAAGAGGAAACTTTGAGCTACAAAATATCAGTTAAAATATAGTAGACTAATTAAACTTACAGAAAAAGAAAGCTGAGCATGAATCTCTATTGTAAATCAGTTAAAATATAGTAGACTAATTAAACTTACAGAAAAAGAAAGCTGAGCATGAATCTCTATTGTAAGATGAGAGAAGTGTGAACTTCTTGGATGAGACATCAATTTGGTAACTAATCTGTTAAATTTAGTGAAACAAGTTCTTACCTTCAGCTACCGCATCACAGTATGAGAGATTCATACTTGTGTTGGCATACATTCTCCAATATCTAATTGCATGATATCCTCGGAAAGCTCATCTAATTTTGGTTGCATGTCATCTATCATTAATAAAAAAAAACCAATAAGAAAATTCATAACATGTATTTGATTCAAAAAAACGTAAAAAATATAACATTAGTATTTGTCTACCTTTGATACCATATAACCAATCACGCGTGCAAACTAAAGCCTCCACATTGTTAGGCTTAAGAGTGCTACGGTATTGGTTAAGGATTCTCCCACCTACACTGAAAGTACTCTCCGAAGCAACCGTAGAAATAGGAACCGCCATTATGTCCCTTGCCAATAGAGAGAGCTCGGGGTATCTATGCTCATTAGTCTTCCAAAATGAAAGAATGTCGAGTTGAGCACCACGGTCAAGTCTTGGTTCATCCAAATAAAGTTCTAATTGAGTTTTTTGAGAACTAATAATTTCTTGACTTTCAAACGAGTCGAATTCCTAAACATAAAAAAACATGATAGCATATTCCACAAATTTCTTCACTACAATTTTTTAAGTAGTAGAAAAGAAGCTGACAAGAAACTATAAACGACTGTTCTCTTTACAAAGTCATAAAGCATTACAAATTATACATCTCACTATCAACCTAAGGGTAGAAAATTCATCACATAGATAGTTAATGCCTAAACACGAGGAATAAATTACCACATTCATCATAATCAGTTTGTATGTCAAATGAGAGAATAATAAAAGGCATGGAATGGATAATCATTTATAACTGTAAAATGTTTACAAAAGAACACAAGAAAACAAACAAACATTTCCGAAAGGTATTTACAATGTGATTGTAAGACATCTACAATAAAAACTAAGAGATATACTAATTATTTGAGAAAGAAATTACCCTCAAGATATCAATGCAATCTTGATCAAATGTGTCATCATACACACGAGAAGTTCCCTCCTTGCTTGATTTCTCCAAGTTTCTTCTTCTATTACCATCCATATTGCTCGAGTACTCATTAAAGAGAGAGAAAAGCTTGTCTTTCACATTCTTAAGCTCCGTAGAATTGTGTCCATATAGCCCCATGATAGCAAAACTCTACAAATTGCATTTTGTATCGGGGATCCAAGATGCACGCAATAGCAAGTAGAACATTGTACTCACTCCAATATTTTTCAAATTTCTTGTACATTTTGGTTGCTATTAACTTAACATATTCATCATCATCTTTCATCCCACTCTTTAAAGTACGTTGCACAACAAATACTTGAAGAAAGTAGAGATTAGCTGTTGGATAATTCGTACCGGAGAAAAGACAAGTGACTGCTAGAAGTCATGATACTTAAGTGAGAGATTCAAGGTGTGTTTTCATTGATTTATGAAGTTTAGAGGGGTTTTGTTCAAAACCCCCAATGTTCATGGGGATACCCTAAACTTCAAATTTGACTGACGCATATAACTGCAGCCTAATGATATTCGAGCTGCTGAATATGGAGGAGCTTTAGCAGTAGGGGTGTGCACAGGGGTATTCTCAGGAGAGGAGCTGAAGCAGGCAAGCAATGGTAGTGCCATTATCCTCGCAGATCTTAAAGATACCTAATTTTGATGAAGCTTAGAGAGAGAAAGAGAGAACTTACAGAGAGCTCTGCCATTATCCTCGCAGATCTTAAAGATACCTAATTTTGATGAAGCTTAGAGAGAGAAAGAGAGAACCTACAGAGAGGATCAAGCTCGCCGTTTGTCGCTGCTCGTCGCTCGCCGTCACTCGTCGCCACTTTTGATGAAACGACGCCGCTCGCCGCCGCTCGCCGCCGCCTCTCGCCTATTGATCGCCTGCTCTCTCTCTCGGTGCGCCTCGCCACCGCACGCTCCTCACTGCCGCTCGCCGCCGCACGCAGATGAAATCTAGGGTTTTGTTTATGAGAAACGAAGAGAGGACGGGTTGCTCTTTTGTGACGGCCCTAATTTTCAATCGGGTGAGCTCTTTGTGTTACACGGGTCAGGCGGGTCAACCCTAACTTACCCATCTAATAAACGGGTCAGTTCAGATTGACCAGTTTATGACCCGACCCATATAACTTGACTCATACCCAAATTAAACGGGTCGGATCGGGTCGGGTTGATGGGTCGGGTCAAAAACTGTCACCCCTATTCCAACCTAAGTTGCATGGAAACGGGTAGGGGTACATGTACCGGTAGGGGTGCAGGTAACACGTGCACGCACGCACACTATATATATATTGTGAGGAACATGGTGCTTAGGCATACCCAATTCACCCAAAATAGGCATACCCAATTTCAACAACACACGCATACGGTCAAGGTGGCCATTATGAGGAACAGGGTGCTTAGGCATACCCAATTCACCCAAAATAGGCTTAAGGTGTCAATATTCAATAGGAGCTCCTAGACGCTATATTGTGAGGCCTCAGAGCTGCCTCCGCCAAGGTAGAAGCCGGGACAGCTTTTTAAACAGCCTGATAGTATAAAACAAATGTCCTATTGTATACAGGAAAACTGTAATGAAATAATGCAAGAGAATAGAAGTCATACTCATGGCCGCATAGTGTATGAGCATAAGCAAATCTCGAGTCTAGTTGCACTGCACGCAGAAAATTTTTCATTGTAGTTTCATGATCTTTCAACAAACTATAGCAATTTCCCATGGCACACCTACATCACCATTTAGCAAATAAATCATGAATCCATAATAAAAAATGTACAACAGAACACAACAGATAGAGAAAAACATATAAGGAGAACCGAGTGTAAACATAAACACTTCTAGAAACAACCACATTGAAATATTAATGAGAAACAAGCATAACTGCAGCAAGGAGAAGTGTGCTATGTACACGAGAAATATTAATGAGAAACAAGCATAACTGCAGCAAGGAGAAGTGTGCTATGTACACGATTTAAAACTCTCACTTAAATTCAACATTTTTTGTCAAAAAGGAGAAGTGTGCTATGTACACGATTTAAAACTCTCACTTAAATTCAACATTTTTTGTCAAAAAGATCCAATTATCCAAGAAATAAGGTAATCATAATCCATTTTGATTACTTTTATTGAAATTTTATTAAGCAAAAGAAAATTACAGGGACGCATATCTTCTTAATTATGCAGTACTTTCAATATAACGAACTTATTTTATAGAATGGAATATGGCTTGGACAACAACCTCATTTTCTTGAACCATTGACCTCCTTCCTAGCTGCACAAACGAAGAAGAAGGAAAAAACTGTAAGTGCACCAAGTATAGCCTTCTGCTCATGCGGATCACACCACAGATGTCCTCACAACCTATAATATTTGACTACTCAGGAGAGGGACAAACTACCTGATCATTTGTTTGTCAAAACTTTGTTCAAATATCGGACTATCTTCACCCATGATTTTTTAAAAAGTATTGAATCCTAAATTGATCACATGATTTATTCAAAGGTATTGAATCTTAAATTGATCACCGTCCACGAAAAAATGTTACCTTTGTCCATTGTCGAAGAAATGAACTTAACGTGCATAAGTATAATGTGAACCATGTCATACTGAACCACTAAAAAACAAAGAGATAAGAGGAACAAAATGGCTTACCCAACAACCTAGAAACTATATCCATCAAGATGCCAAGATTGCATTGTGTTTTCAGTGTTTTGAAACACAATCTAGATGAAATCATGCAAACCAAGTCAAACGACAGGCGTCCCAGCAACATTAAAGTCGAATTTATACTATAGAAATATGTCCAAGAAAAAAGGTTGGCGAATGGATTTTCATGTAGAATAGTTTGGACAAAAATTTCGTGATTAAGATATATTTCTTCAAGCATGAATAGTTTGTATTAAAAAGGAAAAAGAAATGTGATGCAATGGTTTTGTAACACTATACAGGGTATCCATCATTTTGTGAAATAGAACAAACTTACCTCACTTCTAGCAGAGGTGTCCATCATAACAGATGGTATTACAGTAGGTGGTTGAATAGGAAGAAGTCGTAATATCATCCAATCCGGACGATCATCTTTCGGTATGAAACCTAGTAGTAGGGAATCTTCATTGATTATTCTTTTAAGAACACTGAGAATCTGGTCATGTCATAAAACAGATACAAATAAATTTGGGCTACTAAAAGAAATAAATTAGAATAACAATTTTGTAAAATTAGCTACCTCCTCTATAGAAAGCTATTGTTTCCTCTCAACAGGTTTAGGAAGCTGTGCTTGGTCATCATATTTTTTGCAAATGACTCATCAACAATAGTTTGTGTGCAGTATAGATAAGTAAAAAATAGATGTCATGCAAATTTAAAGTAATAAAGTGAACTATTCTTTGAATATGTATTTAGATTCACATAATTGAATGTTAAATTTAAGTTAATAACTGCAATAACAATCAAAGCATGAATATGTATTTAGATTCACATAATTGAATGTTAAATTTAAGTTAATAACTGCAATAACAATCAAAGCATGCAATAGTTATCAATAATTGAATGTTAAATTTAAGTTAATAACTGCAATAACAATCAAAGCATGCAATAGTTATCAAACAACTTTATGAGCATATGCGTATAAATCATAAATTGTCCTAACAAATTAAATTCATTAGTTCATAATCTTAAAAGCATATGAAAAGCTCATTTGAAATCCTTCAACCAATTTGAAAATGTAATTAAAATTAAAAAACATTCATGTTTAATTTTTGTGGGCCCTTGATCAATCCTTCTCCATTTTTATCTTCTTTTTTGGTAAATCGATAACCGAATCATCATCATCAATGTTGATTGTGATGTCTTCTTGGATTGCATAATCAAAAATCAAAATTAATATGAAAAAATGTTAAATTTTTTAATCTAGACGTAAAAGTGTATTACAAAAGTGCACATCATTTCAAACAATGTTTTAAAAAGATGATACTAAACATAAGAGACTTATTAGTAATTCACCAAATTACTATTAATGAGGAATTTATTTCTTGTGCACGCTATGTGTGCATGTAAAAAATTTGTTGAAAAAACAAAAAATAACCCATTTCCATTTGAAAGTAAAAAAAATAACAGAATTTGTAGAAAAAACAGCTAGGAAGGTGTTGAAGATGATGGTGGTTAATAGGATTAGTTAAGCAGTACGTAGGACATACCTTTTAATGACCTGGGGAGTCATGCATATCATATATACCACAAATATCATGACTTAAAGAGTGTAAACTTTAGAAACAAATAGCCATGAAACTAATTTGAAATGCAACCAAAATTTGTAGCAATTGTAGAATATGAATTCGTCTAGCAATAAAAGGAACTTGGGTTAAAATGAAATTCTAAATAATATAATAAATGTTTATAACTAACACTATCTATTGCAATGCCTTAAAAAAAGAGGGATGATAAATTCTGGGCTACAATAGGAACTTGTTTGCTATGTTTTGTGGATTTAGGATTTAAAACCTTTCATAGATTTTTTTTTAAGAAACTTTTAGGCTCTCGTCAAAAGCAGGAGCTTCACCATCTGCATTAAGTAAGAACCACAACAATTGATCATTAAAAATATGGAGGGAACGCATCAAGCAAGTATTATAAAAAAATAGCATGGGTAAAGTTTACATAATACTCATAAACAAGGCCAGGATGCACTAAGAATAACCAAAATGTCAAAATTCCATGGATTTCCCTAAAGCAAGAAGCAACATGAAATGCCTATGAATATATAGCTAAAAAACCACAGTAAAGTACCATAAAAAACCAACAAAGCCTGCACCTCATCAGGTGGTACTGTAGTAAAACAAACATGAAATGTTAAGGAAAATCTTTCAAGAACAGGGGAAATATAGACTATAGGGAGAGCCAATAAGAAGCTAAGCTTAAAATGCATACATGCTTCGATAAATAATACCTGTCCAGACTGTTCCTCCAGCAACTAACTCATTAAAAACAGTAAACTCGTACCTGAAATCATTAAAAGAAATTTGCATCAGTATCAAAGTCTAACACTAAAAGAACAGTGTTATTCAGAACTCTACCATGGCCACTAACTATGTGTCAATCATGCAGGTATTAGTTAGAGTTATATATGAGTTGGCACAAAAATATTGTCTTTAGTCAATGCTAGCATAACTTCTATACTACCTCTTACAGTTCAATAGGTAAACTAAGTTCAAAGGAAATATAAAAAAGTGATTGGCTATTCAAAAGTTCAGGAAACTAAGATCTGTGTTAATAAACTATGACTTATAAGTGTTAGCAACAGAATATGATAAACATAATTTAGGCTTTGGTTTGTCAGCCTCTGATTGGAAAGATTGCAGGTTTGAAATTTTTTGCAGATAGAGAGATAATAAGCATACTTTAAGCTTTTCTTACTAATGCATTGTTAAGGTGTAGAGGAACAGTAAGAATGTCTACTAAAGAAGAACTTTTTATCTGCCTTAGCATGCATTAGATCTTCACGGACATGAGAATCATTCGAACATGAAATAGAGATGCATAAGGAATTAGAGCAGATCACCTAAGTACTGATCGAATCATTGATAATGAACAAAGCAATATAGAAATCAATCTCTCCTATAAGGAACATTCTTTTTAAACAAATACCCATTACATGTACAATATTTCTTACATTATAAATTCTACCAACATTTCTTACATTAACATCTATAATATCTATTATGCTATAGAGTCTAGCAATAGAATAATTAAGCTAATACCTTACAATCTCAAAACACGATCAATCATCCACCAAACTTCCTAAAAGTCAAACCTTTTCCACGGTAACATCACACCTATGTTCGCGGGAAAATTCCAACTTTTCTCACGCAACCAAAATATCAAGTTTCTACTTTTAGAACCAACATTCATCAAACATCAAAACAGAACACTAAATTAAATGAATATTCATCTAATACCTGATCACGAGCAGCATCCTCATCGCGATCAGCTAAGGACGAAGCGACCGAAACCCCCGCAGATTTCACAGTCGACGCCACATTCGAAGCATAATTAGATACAATCCTCAAGTAGCTCGAGAAACTCCTCATGAATCCATTGTTCCGTCCGGATCCTTGAGGCCTCTGCCCCTCATTCCTCATCCCAAACGATCACCAACAGCGGCAACCAAGCAATCGAGACCAAACCCTAGAGATCTCCCAATATCACAAAATCTCACAATCATAACCTCAGGCTGTTTCTTTTGCTCTGTAGAATCAACAAGAAACAGCCCCGATTCAGAGTCAAGTGTCGACATCCGCCATCTCCGATCAAATCCCAAACAATAGAGACAGAAACTAACAAAATCTAAAGAAATCGGAGCAAATTTTTAGGTTTTTTGGAGAGATCAGTTCATGAGTCGAGTCGGCAAATCGGAGAGGCGACGACGAGGGGTCGAGAGGGGAGAAAAGGGGATGGCGTTGGTTTGGGGGAAAATAAAGGAGAAAAAAAAACGGAAATCGAAAAAACACATCGGTACGCAAACACTCCCTTGATAATTAAATTTGATGGAATGCTATTTTGGGAAGGGTAAAGTTTTTTTGGAACTCCCTCTTTTAAAAGGTAGGTAGATATGTTGATGTCAGAAATTAAATAATGGGATTTAGGATGGATTTTGAAGAACTTAGTGTCCATTGATCTCCTTTGATGGCTGATTGATGCGCGAAAGAGAGTCTTACACATATGCAATACGTTAGACGATCGGAGTTGGGTTCTTCGATAGTTCCTCTGACAATCAAGTTAGTTGTGATCTGAAGGAAATAAAATTGGGTTAGTTCTCTTAAGTATACAGAATTTTGCGTACCTTCATGTAGTAGGTAATGTGCTTATTTATACTAGGTCTAGAAGGATATTTGCATAATGTTGGTCGAGTGCAGGTAGTCAGCTTAGTTAGCTAATAATTTACTAATGTCAGCAGCATGCGCTATGAGTCACACTTGCATTTATTGTGACGGAAACAAAGGGGTTGCAACGCTGTCATGGTTCGATGAGTTATTATGACTCTAAAGGAAATGCAATGATGGCTTTGACCATGCATTTAATATGATAGTGATTGGCTATTGTTGCGAAGTCCGAGAAGGAATGCCTTTCATCTTGGTCCTTTGGGAGAGGTCGAAGGAAGACGCCTCTCGACTCGGCTTGCTGAGCAATGATGCCTCAGATAACTGGGATGGATCAAGTGAGGACGTCTTTCGAGTCGGCCTTTTGAACGAGGACTAGTAAAGACGCTTTCTGAACCGGCCTTTATAAGACTGAGGTTGGGTTGATATCCAGTTGATCGAGACACGTGTCACTTTCTGGAGGAAGAATTACACTTAGAGATTTTTATGATATAACAATATGTGTGTCTACACACACACGTAATATATATATATATAT